TAAAAGAAAAATCCAGTAGCTTGTCAGTGACAATTTGTTTGAAAAATTTTTGAAGGAAAGAAATATAGATATATTGAAAAAATATCGAATTTGTACTTATCTTTGGGGCAAATCATCTGATTTGTCCCTCTACAAATATATTGAAATAATACGAATACTTTTATTTTATAGAAACGAGGAGAGAAAATCCCAAAGAACCAAGTAAAATGAATGTACCACCTCCTCGATTAACCTACAGACAGTATTGATTATATATAGCTTAAATCGATCATATATAATGTCCTCTTTCTAATGGCCGATGAAATTTTGAAAAATATCAACTTTCATTTTCTATATTCCAGAGATCATATAGTTCCAGGACATAATTTTTTTAAATGTATTTTTAGATCCTGTATGTGTCTCAGATTTCAGTCGGGAAAATCCAATAGGTGATTGAACTCGTAGTATCGCGATTTCTGAAATTCCTGGAGGTTATAAGTTCTTGAGAATTCTTTCATTGGCAATCGATTCCAGAAGCTCTGCCGCTCCATAAACTAACGGGTTTTGGTAAGGTGTTGTTCGACATATTTCAAGGTTGACGACCAATGGGTGTGCTGGCTAAGCTTGTCGAGTTCGTCTGACTGGTATTGCTATAGTGATGGAATGATAGCAGAGATTCCTGAAGAATATTTTCCGTGAAAGTAACTACAGAAAAGGAAGATCTCACCGACTTTTTTTCGGTGTTCTGATGAGGACAAAGAATTAGAGTAAGTGTTGAATCACCCAGCAGGCGAATGGCGCTTTTCTGGATGGAATTTACGAGCATCAGCTTATGTTTGGGTGCTGAACACCATATGTGATAACAGTATTCTGAAACTGATCGTATCTACCTAGGAAGGAAGGGAGAGAAGGTAGGAATTGAAATGTTTCTTGAACCCCTGAATTTTATTGGTTCTTGAGGAAACTTCCCTAGTCAAAGCATTTAAGCGACGCCCCATAGCTTTTTCATATTTTCCTCCGTTTTCAAGAAAACAGATGGAGAATTGATTCAAATCCAAATTCCAAGTTGGTGCATTCAAAAGACATCAATTGAGGATCACTAGATAGCCACAATGAGTATAATTTTGAGATCTAGAGAATTCGTCGGTGAATGAACACACTGAATTTTGTCATTATGAAATCTTATACAGGGTGATAATTGCAGTAGGCGAATAATGTTTCTGATATCAACACCCTGATGTATCTAGGAAACGCCCCTGAGCATACAGAGTTAATATGATTTTTTTTTTATATCTGTGAGTTCTACCATCTATTGACTTTTCTGATTACATTCTGTAACATCCAGTGTATACCGGATGATTCATAAGGAATTGTACACAAAGCAATAGTGGAATCCTGACATCAAAATATATCGAATGTGCTCAAAAGTGTTATAGTTGAATTAAAATAGATACGAATGGAAATAGCGGATATTGAGTAGTCCAATAGGGTATACGCGTGTGAAAATTTTACACTGGAATATATTTTTGTTCCATTACTCATAAGTATAGATGTCGAATTATACATGCGAAAAACATTATTAAGCACCGAATATTTAATAATTTCTGATTGAAAATCATAATATTTGCAACTTTCCGACCAACCGCCGAACTGCAGCGATGATTTCCGACTGGATGTGGCTGTTTTTATTTGTCATGTCAAACATTCATGTTCGAAAGATTGAAAATAAATAATATAGGAAGAGAAAGTGAGGTTATGATTATCTGAGCTTGTAGTTTCTATAATCTATCTCAATTATATGATCTCAATATTCTGAATAATAATAACTAATAATAAGCAAATATCTACAATAAGAATGATCAAACAGGACTTCTTTTTGCATGTTGTTCCAAATATGTTCAATTTATATCTGATATAGTTTTCCATATCTTCTTCAAGCTTAAAACGAGATCACATATTATATCATTCTCCTAACAGGATTAACATAATCATTGATATATAATGGGTTTCACTAGGACATACTTGAACGTATACTCACTTCGAAATGGTCTTCACAAACAAATCCTCTGGTTTTCTCGGATAAATCATTTCTATTTATGGCTTGCAATCATCATTTTCTTTTCTCTTTATTTTTAAAACTCGATCCCAATGGCAATGAAAGGAATATTTTTTCTGGTGATACTTTTGTTGATGATAGGCATTGCGGCACTAAACAGTATTTGGTATAAACATTATCATTTTCCATTTTAAAATTTCAAATTTCTGGCGTTTAAAACTGTTTTCTTCTCCTACCTCTTCTTCTTCTTCTTTTTTTTTCAATCTGAATCTTGTCATTCTGTCGCGCTAGTCTATGGCTGTGCGGCCTAATACTATGACGTCATAATATTAGTGATGGCCACTAACCCGTTTTCCTGTGACTTCATATTTAGCCTCATTTGAATGAAATTTTTTAGAGTCACAAGCAACATTGAGATTAATGAATGATATCCAATGTTATTATAAGGAAGAAGGAATATAATTTCGATTAAACAAAAAATCATGCGTATTCCCTATTGATATGAGTATACTTCTCAAGTAGACTACTTTATTGTTTGCCAAGCTTTCGGAAATGTTGATTATCTTCTTCATAATATATTAAACCGTATTCTAATAACATATTCAATTTTTTTTCTATGACTGTTGAAAACTGGTCCCTTTTTATGTAACAATTTTGTTGGGTAACTGGATGTATTACACAAAACAAGCCACGCCCCGTGTGTAACAGCCTTTACTCAACGTCCAATGGCCAATCAGCGACAAAGTAGATTTATTACCTACTAAACAGTTGCTCCAGTTCTACAAAATTGAAATGGAATATATGGGGCATGCAGTGAAACGTTCGAATCAGACTCTTCCATATACGTATTAATAATCAATACGGATAATCTCTATCTGTTTCCATAGCGAAACATGAAGCCGATTTTTGAAGACAAATGACTATCCATAAGGAAAAGTTTTGAAACGATCAGACCCATACTGCTTTGATTGAAAGGCTAGTAAACGTCATTGTCCACCGAAACGCATGTCTTTGATGACTACTATAATAGCGCATGGCGCATGCGTATCATGCCACCAAATCCTTATGGATATTCATTTGTTTCATATTTTTGGCTTCATCCTGGCACCCGTTATGATCCGTATTGTTTATTATTACGTATATGGACTCTTCATGAAATGTCATAATTTGACAATTTGACAATACCTACCCAAGTATACCTGGCGTGATTTAGAACTGAATTTCTGTACAAATATGGATTCAGAAAGCGAAAATGAATTCAACTGCACTCCACCGGATGTTCTAGAAGCTGCCAGTTTGAGTACAATCAGCCTTTTGCCCGAGAAATCTGAAAAAATGTATGAAATGGTTTAGGTACCAGATTTTCATGGATTGGCGACCGGATGTTCTAGAAGCTGCCAGTTTGAGTACAATCAGCCTTTTGCCCGAGAAATCTGAAAAAATGTATGAAATGGTTTAGGTACCAGATTTTCATGGATTGGCGAAAAGCAAAACATGCAAATTCGTCTTAGGAGAATGTACTGCTAGCCCATTTTGGCGAATTAGCAACTAAATACAAAGCATCCTCCTTGTGGTCACAGTATTCCATACTTAGAAGCACAATTTCAATAAAAAATTATGTGAATTTTGAAAAATATTTAAAATTACGGGCATTCCTGTTAAGGCAATCTGATGGATATATGCCAAAGAAAGCAAAGATATTCACTGCTGATGAACTCAATCATCACTACAGCTCCTGATAACATTAATCTCGCAACAAAGGTAAGGAAATTATGTGTTCTTAAATAAATTCTTGAATTTTGTCCACCTTATTTGAGAAAAATATGTTCGAGTGATGTTAGAATTCCTTCTATAACAGGATATTGTTCTTGGCTCAGTTGAATATGTGCTTGCATATGCATCACACAACGAAATAAGCGTAGGTTCGAATCTCATCTAATTAATTGTTCTTTTCTTTTTTTCAAGAAATGTATGGCTTCTCCGATATTTACTATAGTACGAATTATTTCTTACTGGGTAGAGAATATGATTTCTTATTTTCTCCTAGGTGGCAGTAGCAGTAATGGGACTTAAGGGTGCTTGTCGTGCGAACGAACTATATTCGATGAAAATTGAAGACTTTCAAGACCTTGGATCGGCTGCTCTAGTAACAATACCGTATACAAAGACGAAAATCACCAGAAAATTCACAGTCACCGATCGTTTTTATTCGCTTTATAAAAAAAATATAGAGCTACGGCCGAATAATGTTTCCATAGTCAAAAAATTGGAATCAATAAATTCGGAGCAATGAGGAAGCAGATAGCACTTTTTCTGAAACTTCCGGACCCAGAATTATATACAGGACATACATTTCGAAGATCATCTGCCACCATTTTAGTTGACGCAGGAGGTGATTTAACATCATTGAAACGGCACGGAGGATGGAAATCATCATCGGTTGCAGAAGGATATATTGACGATTCCTTCAAAAACAAGATGAATACGGCACAAAAAATTGTTAACTCAATTGGACCTTCATCTTAAAATCCGAGGTCTGAAAAAATCGCAAATAATACCTCCACTACTTCAAAAAATAATAACTTGAATCTGGAAATTGATTCCTCTTCCTCTACTCCCTCTATAAATATCTCCAACTGCACAAATTTCACCATAAATATTGTAACCAATAAATGAGTTCTCATTATCTTTCAAATTAAAATTGTTCGAAATGAACCATTGTTTTTTTCAATAAAATATTCTCCAAATATCTCGTCCGTTTGAATAGTGAACACACAGTCATAGAAAAAGTATAGTATTTTACTTTCGTGTAATGGCTATTACTCACTCGAATGATTACGACGTTCGCCTGCTCATGAGTAATAGCCATCATTACACGCTCGTTGAATAATATACTATTTTACAACTTAATATCTTCTTCGTGCTTTTCATTTGAAGGATGTTGGGATGTTCCTTCACCATTTGGTTAACCTGTAACCTATAACCAAAAGATGAAGAAGGTTTTCAGATAACTACTGTTGAACTAACAGTATATATATATATATATACAGGGTGTCCCATAATTAGCCTGCCAAACTTCACCAGCGACTTCTACGACCGAAAATAGATAGAAAAGTTCGAATGAACATAGGTCTCAAAATGGCTCCTTAGGGAGCTACGGCCACCTTAAAGGGGGCTTCTGAAGATGTATTTCCTGAATATTTTCGAAACGCCGTGAGATAAGATGATGAAATTTGGTACAAGAACTAAACTTTTCATGCTCAATGCAGTGGAGTTAAAAAAATTTCAAAATTTGATTTATGAGTATTCAAAACAGGGTGGAGCTACTCTAAATATCACCCTAATTTTTTCTCGGATTATGAATATCTGAAAATTTTCTCAGAAGAAAGGTACTCCTGTTCCATGTTGATCAGATGAACCATTTTCGAGTAAAATCGATTTAAAAATATCAATAAATCTCAAGAATAACGCACAATATTTCCAATATCAAATCATAGTGGCTATGGAAAAAAAAAAGGGTAAAAGTTAGTTTTGATAGTTTTCATATTTGTTGACAAGCATGTTTTGCAGAACACACTAAGCAATTGATATTCGAATGTACATTGTATTGTTACAAAATGCCACAATTCGCAAATCAGGATTATGCAGACATACATTTTTTGTACGGATTTTGTAATGGCAATGCATGAGAGGCTGAGCGAGAATATCGAAGGAGATTTCCGAACAGAAGAATACCTGGGCGACAAGTATTCGTTAATACCCATAGAAACTTGAGTGATCATGGCAATTTCCAACGTGTTCCTGGGCAAGGAAGACCTTTGAGAGGACATAACATGGAGAATATTCTGAATGTCATCGATAATAATCCGAACATTAGTATAAGGACTGTATCCAGAAATTTCAACGTGCCTAGGGCACCAGTAATTTGGAATGTGAGAACACAGTTTGGCAATGAAATAACAGTCGATTGATTTCAGATAGGGAGAATATTACAAATTCAAGGAATTCATCCATTTCACTACCAACGTGTGCAGGATTTATTGCCAGGCGATTTTCAGCCCAGGATTCAGTTCTGCCAATGGATTTTAGGAAATGAGAACATCAAATCGAACATTTTTTGAAGCGACGAATCCATCTTCACCAGAAACGGAGTGTTCAATATGCACAACACCCATGTATGGGCAAATGATAATCCCAGAGTGATCCGACGTTCTAATTTTCAACATCTTTTCTCTGTAAATACATGGGCAGGAATGATAGGGGATCAGTTAATTGGTCCTGTCGTCCTACCCAACCGCCTGAATGCTGATGGGTATCATAACTTTCTTCAGAATAAACTAGGCATACTTTTGGAAGATGTGCCTCTCAATGTACGGCAAAATATGTATTACCAACACGACGGGGCTCCAGCACATTATGGACAGCGCGTTGGGGCATGGTTGAGTGAGATTTTTCCTGGAAGGTGGAAAGGCCGTAATGGTTCCATTCTTTGGCCACCACGTTCACCGGACCTAAACCCTCTAGATCATTATTTATGGGGTCATATGAAAGAGTTGGTTTTTAAAACTGAGGTGAACACACATGGAGAATTACTTCAACGAATAGAGTTGGCAGCAAGTGAACTCAGAGGAAATCGCTTTCAAATTCTGAGAGCCACAAGCGCAATAAGTCGTCGAGCGAAATTATGCATTGATAACAATGGGATTTTATTCGAACAATTTCTATGACCAATAATGAGATTTCGCATATTCATATCGAGGACATCATGCAATGAGGGCATTCTTCATTAATTAGTATTGCCATAGCCACTATGATTTGATATTGCAATATTGTGCTTTATTCTTGAGATTTATTGATATTTTTAAATCGATTTAACTCGAAAATGGTTCATCTGATCAACATGGAACAGGAGTACCTTTCTTCTGTGAAAATGTTCAGATATTCATAATCCGAGACCAAATTGTCGAGAAAATTGCATACAAAAAAAATTAGGGTGATATTTAGAGTAGCTCCACCCTGTTTCAAATACTCATGAATCAAATTTTGAAATAATTTTATCTCCACTGCATTGAGCATGAAAAGTTTAGTTCTTGTACCAAATTTCATCATTTTACCTCACGGCGTTTCGGAAATATTCAGGAAATACCATCTTCAGTAGCCCCCTTTGAGGTGGCCGTAGCTCCCTTTGAAGCCATTTTGAGACCTATGTTCATTCGAACTTTTTTATCTATATTTGGTCGTAGAAGTCGCTGGTGAAGTTTGGCAGGCTAATTATAGGACACCCTGTATATATAGTCACAGAAAGGTTCATATGCTTCATAAAACATTTACTTCCAGGATATTTTTCCAAATGATTTACAAGTACACGATGTTATGAATCGTTCAGTTCCAGGACATTAATGATATGGAACATATCGATTGACGGTTGGAAGGCGGCTGGCATCACATATCATATTCCTTGTTTTCATCGATACAAACAGTGGATTCAGAAGATGATGATAATCCTATATGATATTGCATTTGAATCACTCTGCCACTGTTTACTCCCGATTTAACCGAAAACAGCATCAATTTCCTTCAATAAGATGGTAAAACACATTCCATTCTTCCATATATGGATGAAAATTGTTATTACGAATTCAACGATACCAATGAGTTGATAGATATTTGCATATAAAATATACGTCGATGCAGAGAGTGCAACAGCGAGAATTATTTCACCTTCATGTGACAACTTTTCTATTCGTTCGAATCCACGATGATATAGGATAATCAATAACTGAATAAGGAATAATATGTAAAAAATCAATATTATCGATAATTGGAACTTACGTACTTGACAATATAGATTATTTGATAAATAGTTTTTATGTTGCCTGAACTCTGCTGTTATATATCATTCAGTTCCAGGACGTTTCGTTATGATACGGATAGTTCCAGGACATTTTGTTATAATACGTATAGGTCTAGTACATTCATATTGTCAGTGATCTATTTCCAGGTCATACATATCATGAGGCAAAAATATACTGTGTGAATCATAATGAGAAACTTTGGTTCCACAAATTGCCTACTTTGTTTTGATGTTGAAAGTTCTTCCTAACATGTATCATGATTGGATACTGGGTGTCGAAAGTACGATAAAAGTCATTGTATAAATGGTTTTCTTGGACATGAAAACGAATAAAAACTTGGTGTACAATTCTAGATCAATCATTGTTCTGATTTGCAGTCTCAATTTTCAATGTTCGTAAATATACCTAGTTTTCTTTCAATCTGAAGAAACTAGAACATTGCGCACTGTATGTAACGGATATAGTAGGTTCACCATACAGGTGCGGAAAGCGATGCTGTTCCGCATGCGATTGCAGATGACCGAACGACCCTTATAGCGTTATTCAACAATCTGCATTCATTCATTCATTCATCCATTCATTCGTCAAATGAGGTATCACTTAACTCCCTATTTCATTTGAGAAAATTGGGGGAGGAAGGTTGTCTTGTTGAAGAGGTTGAAGGAGGGGGGATTCTTTCATGTCACAAAGCGGTTTTCCGAAAACATAAATCGACGTGTTTCAGGGTTTTTCTCGAATGTAGAAAATGAATTCACCCGTTACATAATATATGGTGCGCATTGTATAGTTCTATAGGATGATCATATTCATCATAAAACATTGTTCCAGTACATGATGTGAATCGTTCAGGTCTCGATTCAGGTTATATATCATTATTTATTTGATAATGTCATTACTAACGTCATTGAAGGTTGGGAAGTGTCACATTAGACACCTCTACTTCTCGTCCTCACTTTCCGCCCCCACTACTTCCAGCCCTCAGTTCCCGCCCTCACTCATGTAATAATTCAGGTTTGTTCAGAACGAAACATAGATTTATCAATTTTGATCGAAATATGATGATTGTGAATGAAATAGTATACAAACCTTGGTAGGTAGGAGGTTTCATTCCTGTCTCGAAATTATAGCTGACCTCGACGCTTTGCGTCTCGGTTAACTAACATATCTCAGGAATAAATCACTTCTCACCTCGGTGTGTAATATACTATTCCAGGTTATATAGTATTCAGTTCCAAGACATTTTGCTATAATACATGTAGTTCCAGGACATTTTGTTTCGATACGTATAGTTCCAGGACATTTTTTTATAATACGTATACTTCCAGGATATTCATGTTGTAAATCATATAGTTCAAGGTCCTACATATCATGAAACAGGAATATACACGGTTAATCAGAATAAGAGCGACAAACTGCGTATCCAGGATGTTTACATTCTTTCGAAGTATGAGGTTCCTCTCAACATATGTTTCAACATGCATCCTGATTGAGATGCAGGGTGTCGAAAGTACGAGAAGGTTTATAATATTTTTTCAAGTAAATGACTGTAGGAATAGATTATAAACTTACAATTCTAGGTTATCCATTGTATTGATTCGTATTCTCAATTCTCAATTGCCGTAAAAATACACATTTTCGTTTTTGTTAACCAAATATATATAGGGTGTTTGGTTCACCGACCAACTTCTATATGAAAGGGGTGATATGAATAAAAACATTCTGAACATATTCAACCATATTCACTATCAGAAACAGAAATTTATTCATGTCGAAACGTGACGTTTATCAAAAGTCGATGGGTCATTTCAGATAAGTCAATTACTGATCTCTGAAACTGAACGATACTGAGTGATTTACGTAGGCAAAACATTCTGGAAGTTTCTCAACTTACAGTTGAAGGAAGAACTTTGAAATTGTTGTGCTCTCATGATCGATAATTTCCATATTTCCAGGAAAATTTTGAGTCCATCAGCTGTAAAGGGTGTGCCAAAAGCTTGCACCAACTTTCGTATCATAAATGGAAACGGTTCGATTGGCCTCCAAATTCTGATTTATGTTGACTACCGTGTGGCAACAAAATCATCGAACAGGGCGTCAAGTTGTTTTTCAAGTTAGTCAATAT